AGGCCTGAGAACAAGGCTAGAGAAGAAGCTGAGAAGGATCAAAAGGCTGGAACTTCGAAAGGGAAAGGTAAGGTAAAAGCTAGGGTATCTGTTGGTAGTCTCTCAAAACCCTTGAGACAACCTATAGCTAAGAAAAGAAAGGCTCCTGAACCCTCTGAATCTGATGAGGAATCAGACTTTGATTTTGATGTTGAGAGCAATGTTCCAAACATTCCGCTCAAGAAGAAACCCTCTTCTAGCAAACTGCCTAAGGTTCCTGAAGTTGCCATTGACAACATCTCCTTTCACCATCTAGAAAATGCAAGCAGGTGGAAGTATGTGTTTCTGAAAAGGATTGCCTTAGAGAGGGGGCTGAACAAAAGTGCTATTGAGTGTAAGGAAGTCATGGATCTCATCAAGGCTGCTGGCCTGATGAAAACAATGGTCAATTTTTCCAACTGCTATGAGATTCTTGTCAAAGAATTCATAGTAAATTTGTCTGGTGGTTGTGCTGATGGAAAGTCAGCTGATTTTAAGAGTGTTTATGTGAGAGGAAGGAAGGTAAATTTCTCCCCTACTGTGATAAACAAATACCCAGGGAGGCCTGATGATGCTCAACCTGAGCTTGAAGTTACCGATAACCAGGTTTGTCAAACCATCACTGCCAAGCAAGTCAAGCACTGGCCCTTGAAAGGGAAGCTAACTGCAAGCAAGCTGAGTATGAAGTTTGCCATACTACACAAAATTGGTGCAGCTAACTGGGTTCCCACCAACCACAGATCCACCATCTCCACTGGTTTGGGAAGATTTATCTATGTTGTTGGAACCATAACAAACTTTGATTATGGCAACTACATCTTTGATCAAACAATGAGACATGCTGAGAGTTGTACTATTAAAGGCCCCATTGCTTTTCCCTCTCTCCTGTGTGGCATAATCATTGACCAGTATCTTGATATTCTGGTTGAAAAGGACTCTGTGTGCAAAAGAGCCCCTGCACTTGGTTTTCACTATAAGCTATTTCAGGGAACACATGTCCCTGACATTGTTATGACATCTGCTGAGACATCAAATGTCAAAGCTCATTCCAAGAAAGCTGATGTTATAGTTGTTCTAAAAGAAACCTGCAGAGAGCTTGATGCAAGAAAAAGGACTCTTGAAGAGCTGATTACTAGTCTAGAACAGGAGGAGAATAAAGAACAAATAAGGGAAGAGGATGCTGATGAAGAACAACATGATGGTTCTGCAAGAAGCTCACCAGAAGATGCTGCTGAAAATAGTGCTTCCTCAGGGGATGACAGTACCTGAAGATTGGTGCTGGAACTTGATGCTGCTATTTGATACCTTATCTCTGTTTCTGTGCTTTTTTTTGGATTTCCTTTTGATAACTGTATAACTTGAAGTACTATATCTTTTGGCCTCTTTATGGCTAAAAAGGGGGAGAAGTAATTGTGCTAATTTTGGTAGAATTGGATATTGGTAGTTAGATTAGCTGTTGTTAAAAAAATAAAAAATTCTGCTGCATTCTAATCTCTGATTGTTTAGGGGTTTTAGCCAAAAATTTGCCAAAGGAGGAGTTTGTAAGTGTTTGCTTGTTGGCATCATTTTTTTGGTAAAACCAGATTTGCGAATGTCATGACTGATGTCATAACATTCTGGGATAAAGACAAATTCTGCAGAAGGAATGTTCTACAGGAACAACTCAGTATGAGTGAATATCATGATGATTAAGCTATGATCATATGTACTGAATTCTACCAAAATCAGTGAGCAGGATACATGATGTCATAACCAATGTTAAGACATCCTGTACTGATCAAGTTGTTGTGCAGATTTATTGTTCTTGAGATTTTTCAGGAATCTGGTGTTCTATTCTGAGTTGAAGTATATTGATGTGGATATTAGGTTAACCTTGCTTAACCCTAATCTGTTATGATGAAAGTCCAAGACCAAGTCTTTAGGTTAACTTTGGTTAACCCTAGCTATTTTTATGGAAGCCCTAAATGAAGAATAGACTGCTTATATATTTCTCACAGATCCTAATGGTGTGGAGCACTTTTACAGAAGATCAATAAGGCATTGTATAGTTGTGATAATTTTAGTAACTAATGTGAGCCAAGCAATTATCACTTGATAAGTGACTTGGAGTAGGATTTGGTTGTAAGGGTTATTTATCACTCAAAGCTTTGAAGCACGAGTGTTGTGTCTCTTGATTAAAGCTTTGAAGCAAAATCAAGCGCGTGTATTGAAGAATGTCTTCATAATCTTATTAATCAGTAGATTAGTATCATTGTTGTGATTGAGGGGGAGTGAGTAGGAACTCAGGTTTAAGTAGGACTTAGATTGAAGTTGCATTGGGTAGGTCTTAAGTGAAGGAGATAAACTGGTTGGTTTATTCCTAAATTAATACCTCTTAAAGTGAATTTCCTCCCTGGCTTGGTAGCCCCCAGAGTAGGTGTTGTTATACACTAAACTGGGTTAACAATTGATTGTGTTCTTTACTGTATTTTAAATTACTGTTTGGTGTGTGTACAATTTGTCAGATACGGTGTCATAACATTCACTGTGACATTAAGTATCTGTTTCTAGAATTTCACTAAGCACGTTTTCATCTTCCTAAGGCATCTCTGAAGCTTAATCAATCATTATCTCGTCTTAATTCGCTATGAGATGGTGCATCAGATGGTTTTTGATAGGTAAGGTTCTCTCAACTTTGATCTCCATCATTTCATCATCATTTTGCATGAAACTTGATATGGTTATGATCGTTGTTGTTTGCTAAGTTTTACCCCTAACCTCTTGATCATTTATCTTGCTCGTATGTGATTTAATTTTAATTTCATTAACATAGGGTTTATATATGATTTGATGCTTGCGTGATTTACAGTTAGTTTCACTTTCAATTGTTAGCATTTTCATGATCCTTGGGAAATTCGGATCAAGATGATGTGAACCATTTTGAGTTTTGGTGTGGTGCACCACCGTGGCTAGCTCGGACACGGTGGTGGTAGTGGCAAGAGCTGAGGAAGGGGATAACCTGTGTTGCGCATGTTTTTCTATTTAGTTTGAATTTGAATAATTGAGGTGGCAACACCCCATTGGTCTAACATTTTTATTTTAATTTGCCTTTTTAATTTTTTTTATAATACTAGTTTTTGTTTTATTATATTTTACTTAAGTTTAAATAATAATAATAATAAAATTGAAATTGAATAGAGATTCAATTTTCTAGATGAACTCTTCTGAACTCATTGATTTGGGCCTAGCGCCTGAATATATCTTCTTTCCACAAATCCATTTCACACATACACCTCCTTATTTCTCTATTTTGTTTTTAATTTTCTTTCCCTTACAAATTTTTTTCCATTTAATTTTCTTTTATATTTTTAATATAAAATGATACATAAACATATATGTCTTGATTTTATCCTAGCAATATTATTTTTGATATCTATTTTAAAACTTTGCTATTATTTTCTTCAATATTTTGTTTGATTTTAATTTGAAACATTTTATGCCTTGAGTTTGGTTGTTCTTGATGAATATTTCTTGCTTAATTCTTGAGTGATTTTTTATGATGATCTTGATGCCTTGATGTGTGCTCTTCTTGAATTAATCTTGGTTTCTTTCTTGATGATTTTTGGCATGCTTAATTGATTGAGTTTTTTCCGCGATTTCTTGAATTTTCTTGATGGGTTTCATCTTAATCTTGATTATTGATCTTTGATTCTTGCCTTGTTTGATAATTGCTTGATACTTGTTTATGGCTTGTTTGCTCACATGCTCCCTTAGGATTATTTAATTCAATTTTAATATTTTATTAAATTGAATTAAATATAGACTTTAGGCTTTAATTCAAGCATGACAATAAATGAAGGTTTCCACTTTGATCCCAACCTTAAGTTCATGATGCATGATGATATTAGGGTAGAATTTCCCCTTTATCTTCCTCTTTTCTTCACATTCTCTTTTCCTTTTAAAACAAAAATAGTTTTTTTTTATCAAATGTAAAAATACCTAATAGAGACGATACATATAATACGCCAAGAGCCTTAAGTACATAAGAAAAGATGAGCGGGAGTCATTCCTTACCTCTTGCTAGAGTACTTTGAATCTGGGGCGCCTGACCCAATCATTCAAAGTATTCGCCCTCATGTCAAATACTTTCAAAAATTAAAGGAGACGTACTCAAATACCCCTGCCTTGGAGGACTATTTGATTTATCTTCTAACAAAACACTTCAACAAATCCAAATCATTTTTTCGTCTTGGCTTTTCTCTTTAAAAACCTTTTAAGAAAGTGAATGTTATTGGCATTCTATCTATTGTACCCCCAAAAAATTTCCTCTCATTTTCAAGACAAATTATTTCAATAGATCTCCTCATGCTCCTATTGTTCTCAATTGCTCAAGAATACTCAAGGTTTGAGCATACAAAGCACCCCTCCTAAGCAACCAACCTAAAATTAGGATTTTGCTTTTCTCAAAGGAAATTGAGTTGTCAATGCCTCAATTATATTTAATTATTATTATAACTTTAAATAAAATAAACCAAATTATTTAAATCTAAATTATTCTAATTATCACCTATATTCTCACTTACTACCACACACATCATATAAATAATCATCAATAATTCACTAATCACTAATAATTCACAAATAATAACTTAAATAAATAACTCTAAATTTTAGAGTGTTACATTAACTTTTCAATACTTCAAATTGTGTTTTACACCGAGTCACAAAACTCTAATTATCATAAAAACAATATTTGAATAAAATCAATCTCATCCTGATAGGTGTACCATCACAAAGCTGACAACCATCAGCTGATTAGATGCAATGACAGGTGGGCACTGCAGTAGAATTTAAATAATTTTTTCATCATTTGAGGTCTTCAAAATTTGACACATAATATTAAGTAATGAGGGATTATTGAGATGGAGGCAAAAGATAGAGAAAGAAATGAGGGATTAAAGGTGTATAATAAAACACAATATTAAAACAAAAACAAAATTTCAATGCCAGCTTTAATTCTTTTAATTTTCCAAAAACAGATTCTCTCTCTTGAGAACCTCACGGTGGAAACAACGAACGCACGCGGTGGAGGAGAAGTACTCACGGCGGCGGCTGGTGAAGCCTCACGACGACGCCGCCGTGAAATTTCCAGTTTCGAAAATTTTTCATATCACCGTGTTCGGTTTTGTCTCCGCAGTCTAAATCTCCAACTAATTTTCAAAGAAAATCAAATAATTGCACAAGATCTACAAAAGTTTTTTTGAAAACCTAAGTTCAAGTTAATAACAAAACAACACAGAATCAAAGAATTAATGGTGGATTCAGTCTTGTTAGGTGAGTTTCAACCTTCTGGCGTAGAGAAAAAGAAGAACGACTTCCTTCAGCGGTTTCCGGCACGGAGGTTGAATGTTCCGATCAGGGGTTCCAGTGGCGGTTCAGGTAATGTTCTCCTTTTCTCTACTGTTTTTGTGTGTTGTTGAAATATGTCTGAAAAATCCCTCTATTCAGTGCCTCTGATGATTGTTTAAATACTGTGAGATTGTTAGGGCTTAGGATAGAACAAAGTTAGTGTGAAATCTGAGTTGGGTTGCCAATTAGGTTCTAAAGAGAAACGCTCATTTTCTCTCTTCACAACCTAACGAAAATTGCTTGTATTAGTCCAATAATTCAACTTTGTTTGCAATCTTTTTCATGATAATCTCATCTTAAACTTGGGCCTGAAATTAATCATTTTGTTGGACTGGTTGTTGAATTGGAATGATTATTGAACTTGTTTGAACTTGTGAATTGTTTTTATTGCACTTGTTGAAACTTTGGGTATGAATCGAGGGCTTGAATTCAGCAGTGACTTTGTTGTTTATTTGTTTTGTTGTTGAGAGATTTGGAATGAATTTGTTGGATTCTTGTTAACTCTAATTCAATTCTTCTCTTGACGTCATGAGCAATTTTGATGATTATTGAGAGCATGATGAAAGATTGTTGGAGAAGAAGCCATGGCTAGCATGGAGGAGATGGTGAGTACTTGAAGATGAAAATGTGGCTTAGAAGAACTTGGAAAGTCCAAGGTTGAAGAAGAAAAATCAAAGCCTTGTGATGTCCATATCATTTTAGGTGTAGGAAACTTGTAATGTTTGTAACATGTAGAATTGATGATATAACTTGGAGTTTTAGGTTTAGAACTTGAATTCATGTATAGAATTGATGTTGAACTTAAATCTTTGTGATTCTTGAATTTATTTGAGGATGAAGACAACTTGAAAATCAAGAAAGTTCTCCTAAATTTGAATTTGATTCCACATGTGGATTATTTTGAATTTAAGGCAATGTATACATCAAATTCAAGTTTCAATATTCATTGGCACATGAGTTTTCCAAAGGTTGGTAAAATCACCTGCCTTTTCTTCTCCTATATCTGTAGCAGTAGAAATATTGAGATTAAGTTAGTGGATTGACTTAACTCACATAAATCAAATAAAAATCGCAATCGCGCTTTATTGTTTTCAAAGAAATGAGAAAAGAGCGAATAATTGCAAAAGAGAGGGAGAAAATCTAAGTATGGAAGTTAGTTATGCAAAGGGAAGATATTAGCACCCTAAACATCTATGGTACTCCGTAGGAAATTCTTTGAAAATTTGTGTATTTTGGCTATAAATTATGTATACAAAAATAGATGGTGGAGATGAGAAAAGAAGTATCTTTTACAAATTTGCACTCGCTACGGTTGTGAACCTTTAGTGCTTATGTACCACCTTCTGTGCAGTAAGGGATCAGAGTACTCGTAGTTCACCTCAAAAGTTTTAAAACACAAGTGTGTTGGTTAATTTTAAGAGAAGAGACATCATCATCATATCTGAGTGGAAAACATACTTACTACTCACAATTATGAGAAAAAAGAATTTAGATCATCTCAAAGTAGAGGATATAGCTTGGATTTTAAAATCAACAAAGCCTCACTCAACACCCAAGTGGAAAATATCTCGCTTCACTATATATCGTAGAAAATATCTCGCTTCACTATATATCGTAGATGTATCGTAGCTCACATCACTACAAGGATCAACAAGTGTCTAATCTTTTGAGAAAAGTTTTAAAGTAAAAAGGCAAAGTGGAAAAATGGTTTGGATGAGGCTAATTAACTTTTAGTCTTCTCACAAAAAAATTTCAAAGTATGACTAAATTGATTAAAGTTTGATTAAGAAAATATTTTTGAAAATGCATATACCTAAGTCCAAATTTATTATGGAAGCGGTTCAGGTTAGAAAACAAGAGGGGTTTTGAAAAGGAGAGAGAAGATTTTGAAATAAAAGAAGATGGGATGAGATGAAGGGATTATCCTAAAGCATAAGGTAAAACCTAAGGAAAAGAACAATCTAACCAACAAGAAGCCAACACTTGACATAAAGAGTCGATGTAGAATTCTCATCCTTTAGATTGAAATCAAGCAAGCAAAATTACTAAATCTCTTGAGAATACCAAGCTTCAGATGAATTAAGTCTTCACAAAAATTGGACAGAGTAACAGTTGTATACAGAGGAATTCCCAATCACAGACAAAGCACATAAAAAGAATAACCTGCACACAAAGAAAATCAACCCAATGTCATGGGGTAAACTCCAAGAACTCCAAACAAAATAACAACAAAGTTACAAAGTCCCGAGGGTAATCAAGGCTTCTAATCATAAGTCAAAGAGGTCCACAACTCCATTATGTCAAGGATAGTAACCAAATAGTCCAAGTAACCTTAAAGCTTTTTAATGTTAAGTTGGTTATTAAGTGTCTTCAAAAAGAAAATGAAAGCTCAAGTGAGCAAAATAAAAATGACATAAAGATAAATGATCAAGTGAGCAAAAGATAAAATGACATAAATATAAATGCTCATGGAAGCAAAGATGAAAATAACATGAAATGTAAATCCTAAAGTATATGGTGCATAAAAGTAAACGCATAAAATAAAGGGCATAAAGTAAAAACACAAAGTAAAAGCATAAAGTAAAGTCAATTACTAATGAATTAAAAGTTAGAGGTTAGTTGAATAACCATCTTAAAACTTGCATTTGAAAACTAATTAGAAGATTGATAAAATCAAAGTCACTCAACAAGTTTTATTTGCTTTTTATCAAGTATTTCATTCATTTCAAGTACTCAAGGCAAGTATATATGAACAATGATGTTTAAATGATTCACTTAGACCAAAATTCATGAAAGTTCATTAGATGATTGATAAGATCAAAACCTTTTAACAATGAACCTCAAGATTATTGGATCAAATGTTTCAAAGTAAACATACTTGGACTTGTAAATATAGGTTTGGGCCACGAATGATCATTTTTCGTATCAAGATAAATTTAGCGTCGTGTTAAGCAATCGTAAGTGGACTTATGTAGAAGTCACACTTATTTTGAGGCCGGTCAATAGCAATCTAAGTACCACATATTAGAGAAATGATACGTAAATCATCCTCCAACAATATGTATCACAAGTAAGAAAGGGATAAGATGAAGAAGGAGGAGATATTTCAGATGAAATTAGGATTTTAAATATCATTCATCCATTTTGGTGGATTTGGTTTTTCAACCTATCAATACTCAAGATTCGATGAGGTTGAGGAACTCGTCCCAAAATAACACCCAAATCAGGATCAAACAAAAATAATAAAATAATATTCAATAAAACAATATTTAAATAATTAATAAAAGGGAAATAATTGGTAAACTATACAAAGTATATTAAAACACCAAATAAAAATCTCAAAAAAAAAGTTAGAGGTCAAACATGAGTCAATAAGTGTTAGACAAATTTTTTTAGAATTTTTTAAAGTCAGAAACTATTTTAAAAATTTAAAGAAATAAGCAAAATAAACTAAAAATTGTGAAAAATATTAAAAATTAGAAATAAAAATAAAATGAGGTCACCAATATTTATCAAAAGGTCATTGGATCCTTCCATATTTTTTTTCTTCAGAATTTAAAAAAACAAGAAAAGCATTTTTAAACAATTAAAACAATTTAAATAAGTGAAAAATCATAAAAAATACCAAATCATAATATTAAATTATGAAAAAGTAAGAATCAGAAAGAAAAAAATCAAAAGTATTTTTGAGAATTTTTCAGAGTTTTAGAAGTTGAAATGATTTTTTTTATGAATTTTTGAAGTTTAAAACAATTAAATCAAAAATCAGAAAATAAAAATAATGTCAAAATAATATGGGCCATCTGATCATAGTCAAAACGCGTTAGTAAACAAATCTAAAAGACCCGGCGCGCTGTGCTTGATATGGACCTGTGAGAAACACACACAATCAATTAAAACCTGGCCAATGAAATTAAAACAAATGTCACACCATTATTGGCTGAAGAACGACACATAGGTCATCTTCAACCTCCAGACCCCTACGCGTTTTCTTTTTGTGAGTTTCTTCAAACATAATTGTTAGAAGTTCAAACTGGTATCATTGGATTCGTCTCTTCCAGAAGATCCTAAACCACAGCTAAGTTGATTTGAGAAAAACAAGAGTATTTTGAAATTTTCTGAAATCGAAAACATAATGCATCAATTGATCAAAATTAAACCATCACCAAGCATCAATGAACATTGTGATACGGTGGGAGAAATGAGTTGAGGGTTTTGCGTTTGATTGCAAATGTTGCGGTTAGCAAGAGTCGCCACCGACTTTTCTTTTATCCAAAAGGAAAGGTGAAAAAGCACAGGAAAGACCATTGAGATTTTTTCTTGAGTTCGAGGGGTAGATTATGAAAAGGGAAGGTATTAGCACCCTTTTTATCTATGGTTTTCCATGGGCTCTTAGTTACTTGCTAGATCACTTGCTTTATGTTTGAAATTGTGCTTTGTGTGGTTTTTGAAAGTATTTTGTAAAGAGACCATTGTTTAGAAAATCTTTGTAATGATTCTCGTTCGTAAGAATGTATGCAAATATGTTGATCTTTTGAAAATGTTTTCAATTTTGTAAGATGTTTGAAAGTGTATTTGTCTGTTTTGAAAATAGCAAAGTTGATTTGTTTTGAAATGGAGAAAGTAATTAGGAGCATTCTACCTACTCAAAAGTCTTTCTTGTTCATTTTTCTTTTCCTTTGACATTGTTATCTTACCATTGATTTGATAAGAACCCTATTTTTGGATGTTAACGGGACAAGCGTGGGTCATCGTATAACCATGATTTTCAATGTTGCAAGGTATCTTAGCATTCTTTTTTAGGGACTGAGATCATTTGTAAGGCAACTTAGATAACGTCATCGAGAGACTATGATCTTGTATTTGCTTGTTTTTGCTAAGATACCTTACATGCGTAATATGACCATTTTATATAAAGAAACCAAATGGAATAACCCTAGGGGTGCTTGTGTGCAAGTGTATTTTTTTCATACTTATTTTTGTCTTGAATTAGGATTTTCTAAGTATTGGTTTTAGTCTTTCCATACAAATCCTAATTACTAGCATGTTATATATAAAAGCGATAAATTGCGAAATTTAAAGTTACTATGCTATTACAACATTTGCGGGGAGGGGAGTGTACAAATTGAATGGGGATTGCAAGAATGTAAATTTAGTTAGTCTATTACAACCATATTGAATTGGTATCAATGTACAAGGAAATTAAATGCATATAAAGTATAAAATGAATAAATGTACAAAAATGAAAAAAATATAAAGAAAATGGATCTTTGTTTTAGATGTTTTTAGAAAAAAAGGGATTTTTTCTTAATATAATTAATTAAAAGAAAAATAATTAATGAAAAGTAAAACTTAAATTTATTAAGAAAGATTTGTAAACAAAACCCTAAATCTATTTATTAAAATAAAGAAAATTAAGTTTATAAGAATAATATTTATTTGGTATTTTTGTCTTTAAAATATTGATAGTATTATAAAATATTTTTGGCTTTTTTTTATATTAAAATAATATATTTTAAATGGTGTAAAAGAAAATAAATAAAAAAACATAGTATTAATTAAATTTACAAGATAAGTTAGTAAAAATAAATATAGTATAGTTAATAAAAATATTTTTTTGTGAGAAAAAATAAAATAAACTAAGTTAAAATGAAAATCCAATCTTTTTTGTATTTTTTATGATTTTTTAGTATTTAGAAAAATATTTAAGAAAATAAATAAAATAATAAAAAAAGAAAATCAAATAAATTGGGTCAGGGCCGTACAACTGAAACAGGGGGT